TAATAAATAAACATGCTGTATGATTTGAGGAGAAACTAAAAGGAAGAAGTATAGGTACAGAAAGAAACGGATCAGTGAGTTTTCCTTATAGATTCTCTGAGATCACTTTCATGTTATGGATCACACACACATATACATGTATATAAAGAGAGGAAACAGTTAACGGTAGAGAGAAAAGCAAAACATTATGTTCGCTGATGCGTGTACTTATATGCGTTCTCATATGTTCAATAGGTTGTGACTAATAAAATGATCAAGGGCCATGTCTAAATATAAAGTTATGGGGTCGGCTTAGAAGAAAGTACAAGAAAAAAAAATGGTTAGATGGCTAGACATGAAGTTGGGTACCATTGACAGCCATTATTACCGGAAAACGGGTTCTTTTTACGCTCTTTTGTATCATTGAAGAAATTGATGTAAGCGAACATAATTCGGTTCCTTTAGTTGGCCAGTCATTTGGAGGGGGCATAGGACGAATCATGACGTGATTGTCGGCAATACTGGACAGATTACAGTAAAGGGGCAAGCATAGGCTAAGGTTCATCAAACAACAATTTGGTAACCAGGTGACTGCAACACACAATGATATAAGATCTTGACACGACCCACTACAACGATTTTCCGTCTAGACCATAGAAATTGGTCTTTTTCTACCCTCCTTTTTAGTCTGGGGTGGTCCTTTCTTAATCTAATTTTATCTGAATGTCTCGTTTGATGTGGTCCATGTTTTTTTGCAAATAAGGATTTCCTTGAATATCAAGTTGAAATCAACTGAAATTCTATTTAAGTGATTTTGTTAATATTCATTAAACGATCTGAAATATAATTCAGAACTTAATATACTCTCCATTACGTTTTGTTGTCCCATAAGTTGTAGGTATATAAATTAAATAATTTATTAGTATTACCTTATACTAGTTAGTTAGAACTATGGTGCTCGTTTTAGCTGTTTATAGCTACATAATTTCGTTGATTGGTCTCACGTGGTGTCTTCAGCTACCTGTCTTTCGGTCTTTTTCTTGTGTTTGTCGTATTTGATAAACTTTTGGAGAATTTTTATTCTAACCTTTTATTCACTCGACGGTGGTTAGCTTTCTTTTTATCCGCTCTCCACGATAGAAGACATTTCGTTTTAGGAACGGTTTTATTCTTTTTTAAGTTAACGTGGGGTACTCTTTTGTACAAAATGCAAATGTCGATTGGAACAGTCATGTTAGGGGAATTTTTCAAATTCTAAAATAGTGTGATTGTTCAAATAAACGTTCCGTAGGGATTTTTTTTAAATATAGGTTTGATAAACGAGGAACAAAATAATCGTGCCATGGAGAAAATTATCTGAAAAATAAAACTAATAAGCGCTTTACCGGAGAGAAACTGATGGGAATAATTTAATCCTGCCGGCACCTGTACATGATACATCTTATCAAAACTTATAGTAACATAATTGGCGTTATGTATTACATAATCACACATGAAGTGACGCATTTTTTATTTGGTCTGTTGTTATTCCGGTCGTATAACGAAGTAACCTCCTTAGTATATGAAACAATCTTGACTTATTCTTGATTTTGTTTCTTTCCAGATAATTCTTCTTTCAATATATTGTTACTCATAAGTCCAATGAAAATGATTACAATGAAACAATGTTGAGTAATCTTACTGTATGAGTACAAACTGGGAAAAAGAACGATTTATGCATCGGACCATTACATGCGATGATAAATGGGTACTCTTTGACAATATTAAGAGAGTAGGCTAGTGGTTAGATGCAAGTGAATCACTGAAAAAATGCCAAAAAAACCTCCACTGCATCCTAAAAATTAATGGCTACTGTATGGTGGTCTTTCAAAGGGATTATTTATTCTTGCCTCAAGGGGAAACAATAACAGCAACCTCGTATTGTGGAGAAATTGAATGTATGCATGAAAATTTGAATATGAAACATCTTAGACTTGTGAATAGAGATGACCTTAATTTTTCTGTACGACAACTCACGGCTGCACGCTTCTCAATCAACTGTTCAAAAGATTCATAGCCTGAATTATGAAATCTTGCCTCATCCTCCATATTGATTTGATATATCTCCTGTTGATTATCACTTACTTAAGCATTTTGAGCTTTTCATACGTAATAAAAACATTCTCCAATAAGGAAGATGTAATCGAAGCTTTTGTACTATTTATCACATCAAAGGATGAGAATGTTTTTAAAGATGAAATCAAGAATTTAGAGATACGTTAGAGAACATTCATTCATCAACATAGTGCCTATTTCAACTAAATAAATTAGTTATTTAACATTTCAACAGCGTTTTATTCTTTTCCTGTAAAGTGCGTCATTTCATGTGTGACGACCTAATAAAAGTTCAGTTCTCCAAGGTTCTAGTGAATATTACCACCCAAGACTATAGAACCCAGTTTGTCCTGCTATTTACCATATTGAGGAACTTACAGAAAAAATTAAATATGAATGCAGTAAAATGAAAGAAGCAACTCTCCGACGTGTTCATGAATCATGCCGGCATAGAATCGAAATGTGTTTTGAAAAAAAGGCGGATATTTTGAACAAACAATTAAATAACTAGTAAATAACATTTTTATGTGTAATTATACTCTTAATAAAATATCCCTGTGATGCGCAACTTTTGTATATTTATAATGAATAATTAGAAAAAATAATCGAAAATGCATATAAGACACATTTTTTAATTGTTGTTAAAACCGCATGAATTTTAACTAAGAGAAAATGATCGATTATGCAGAACGAATAATGAAAATAAATAATATAGAATTAAATCGAACGTAGGAAATTACTAAGAAAAAATCGTTCTGTAATCAGTCTTTTGTAACGGAACAGATATGCGTAACCGTTCCGTTTCACAGATGGCGGAAGGAAACGTGTCCATTACGCCTAGAAAAACTTATTGATATATTCAAAATTATTAGTACATTATTTAAAGCACCAAGATCTTTATTCAAACTTATGAAAACATATGTTAACTCTGTTGAAAGCCTAAACATTTCATTCAATGCCTAAGTACTTTTATTCAAATTTGTAAGTGTATTACTTTGAAAGAAAAAAAATCGGCGTCGTTGTAGATGACTATTTCAAAAGAAGTCGACCGCTTACTTTTATAGCGGATGGGTTCTTGCGCGGTTGATTAGAACAACACGGGAACAGCATACTTTTTTTTATCATCACACCATGGAAAGCTGATGTAACCAGTCTTCTCAGTTTTTCCCTTACCACTGTGGACTTATATGCTTTAAAATGGAGGAGCATCGACTGTGCAACAGCTTTTCGCTCAAAAATCAAGCGCAGTAGTTTTCCAGAACCCATTTCATGGCTTATAGGATCGGTAGTCGCTATTTACCAAATTCGCACTTCTCACAGAGCACAATCTCAGTAATATTACCTTCACAGCACGAGAAGTCTCTAGACTTATCAAATAAAGCCACTAGTCCAGACAAAATTTCAGTGGTTGTCCTTAAGAAAATCAACCAAGAATTATCCCCAATTTTAACAAAATTATTCAACTGTTGCTTGAAGGAGAAACCCTTCCCAATCCTGTGAAAAGTGTCAAGCGTATGCGCGGTTTTCAAGAATGCGGGCGTGCGATATTCCTCATGCCAGTACAGACCTATCAGTCTCTTCAGTATTATCATAAAGTTTTTTGAGGCCATAAGGTCAGCAAACACCTCGAAAAGAACAAATTCTTCAGTGACGAGCAGTATGGTTTCCTGTCGATGTCCAAACTACAATAACTCACAGTATCAGTGAGGTTCTTCAGCACAAACACACCCCGAGGACCATAGCTCTAGACATCTCAAAGGCCTTCGACAATAAGTTACGCAAAGGCTTACTACACAAGCTCTCCAGTTACGGAATCACCGGAAGTGTCTCCTCAATCATAAAATTCATCCTAATAAGTTATCAATGTCTAGTCCTCCTGAGCAGACCCCGGGGTCACTTCTCAGACCAATCCTCATTGTGATGTACATAAATGATCTGCTTAAGAATATACTCAGATCATTTTTAAGCATCTATGTCAATGGTACGACTATAAACGGGCACACCGCTAAAACTCTCGATGATCAGAGGTTGGTGACTAATCTCTCTTCCGATCTTGCACAAACTACCCGATGGGACAAAAACTGGCTGGCTTCAGTCAATGCTTCGAAGATTAAGCTAGTTACATTCTATCATCGTCGATCTTCCACCACCTGAGGTCCTCCCGTAGAAGTAGCGTGCCTTGAAAGACTGCTGGACCTCAAAATCACACCGAAACTCAAGTGGAATTCGTACATACGATCCATTACTAAGGATACAGGATATCTGTAAAGATACAGGTAAAATGCTCGGCTCTCTGTACCACTTCAGTAAGTACCCGACATTTCCTGCTATCCTCTACCTTTTCAAATGGCAGATCTGGCCAAAAATAGAATATTGTTATATTGGGGCAGAAGCTCCAGAGACCTCACTTTCCAGCCTTGTCAAAGTTCAAAAGCATCTCCGAACCCTTCAACGTCACTTCCATAGGCCGGATGTGGCAAGCCTCTCGCAGAAAGTGCTCGGACGAATTATATTCCTTGTTCCTGCCAAGGCGAAACTTCATGAACACACCTTATCACTTACATCGTAGCTATTCGCCAACATTATCTCCGTATTTCATTGGTGAGAAGCATGTTGCACTTGAGCAGCTTCTTCCCGTGAACCACTGCTGTGTAGAACCAACTCCCAACTGGGTATTTCTCTGATCACTACAATCTTAACCTGTTCAAGGCTAGGGTTAACCATTATCTTCCACTCTTATACGCACAAATAACCTCCACACGTAACCCTCTACTTCGAGTGGCCCTCGGCCTATGTAAAAGTTGAACATCGTTGTAAAAAAAAAAAAAAAATCCAAAATAAAAACCTTCGATAGACATTTTGTCTTATTACTTATATTTTTACTTTAATTTTAACAGAGATGAGCCCACTACCAGGCAAGCAGAATAATGTATTCTCCTGGGGATCCAGAACATTCGTCTAAGGAACGCTTACCTAAGGAAAATTGGTCTATTTATTTAGATAATTGTGGTCTAATGTGAGTTGTTCGTAAGACCTTCCTTTAAGTGTCTTAAATATTATTCTGTAATATCGTGAATATCAATAAAATTGAATATTTCGAACTCGAAGAAAGGGTTAATTTATTAAAAGTATTTTTATAGACCAATGTTCCTTAGATGGATCTTCCATAGAAAAATGTCCTTGGCCAGATTTCCCTTAGACCAATATTCTTTAGAAAATCCTAAATCCATTCTCCTAATAATTAAAGGAAAAAAGAAATTATGGCCATTTTGTCAGAAATTATTTCCGACATTTAAAGCAGCTGTACATAGGATGCTTTAGAATTACAATCCAGATGTGGGAGAATATTTCTGTGAAAGACGACTGGATAAAATCGAGTATATTTAAAGAGCGTTTTTAATCTCTGTTACGTTGAACGGGTTTTCTCTTAAGGAGACCCCATACTTTGAGTGCGTCGAGGGACTTAAGATCACTGAAGATGCTGGAAACATGGTCGGTCCTCTGTACTGCTCCAGTAAGTACCTGGGTCCTCATGCTATTCCCTATCTTTACCAGAGTCAGACCAGACTGACAGGAAAATGGACCAGGAAAAATGGAGTACTGTCGCCTTGTATGGGCAGGAGCAGTCCAGTCTTCACCTTCCAGTCTCAATAGAGTTCAAAAGCGTCTACGTTGCCTTATTGGTGATGAATTATTTTCCATCCTACAACCCCTTTTCTCACAGACGAGATGTCGCAAACTTTTCGTTGTTATTTCCATGGAAAGTGTTGAGGTGAACTACATTTCTTATTTCCACCAGTTATAAACTTCACTCGTTCTGGGTATGACGATAAACTACACCCAGCAGTAGACCTCTGATCAGGATGCTTTGAGGAGCGTGGAACCACCTCTTTATTGCTGTTGTCCACCCTGACCCGAGTAGCAATTGTTAGGGTCTCAGTTATGGGCAAATAGATAACCCCAAAACTGAGGTTAAAAACTATGAAAGTATAAAAAAAAATTATAGTAAAAATCACAGTAGTACATTTTCATAATATATTACTAGCAACAAACTCTAAGGAAAAATAAATATTACCAGCAATACAGTTTTGTAAAAAAAAAAAAATGATCCGAAATATGTTTTTGTCAAAGAAATAAATTAATGCTCCCAAGAAAATTAAATTTGTATTTAATGACCCATAATGACCCTAAACAAACAAGATAAAACTTCACAGCGAAGACCGGCCATTCCATGCACATTTTAGTGAACCACTCTCATTCACTTCCTATTTCAGTGAACCACTTTCATTCTCTTCCTATTTCAGTGAACCACTCTCATTCTCTTCCTATTTCAGTGAACCACTCTCATTCTCTTCCTATTTCAGTGTACCACTCTCATTCCCTTCCTATTTCAGTGAACCACTCTCATTCCCTTCCTATTTCAGTGAACCACTCTCATTCCCTTCCTATTTCAGTGTACCACTCTCATTCCCTTCCTATTTCAGTGAACCACTCTCATTCCCTTCCTATTTCAGTGAACAACTCTCATTCTCTTCCTATTTCAGTGAACCACTCTCATTCCCTTCCTATTCCTGTGAACCACTCTCATTCTCTTCCTATTTCAGTGAACCACTCTCATTCTCTTCCTATTTCAGTGAACCACTCTCATTCCCTTCCTATTTCAGTGAACCACTCTCATTCCCTTCCTATTCCAGTGAACCACTCTCATTCTCTTCCTATTTCAGTGAACCACTCTCATTCCATTCCTATTTCAGTGAACCACTCTCATTCCATTCCTATTTCAGTGAACCACTCTCATTCCCTTCCTATTTCAGTGAACCACTCTCATTCCCTTCCTATTTCAGTGAACCACTCTCATTCTCTTCCTATTTCAGTGAACCACTCTCATTCTCTTCCTATTTCAGTGAACCACTCTCATTCCCTTCCTATTTCTGTGTACCACTCTCATTCCCTTCCTATTTCAGTGAACCACTCTCATTCCCTTCCTATTTCTGTGAACCACTCTCATTCTCTTCCTATTTCAGTGAACCACTCTCATTCCCTTCCTATTTCAGTGAACCACTCTCGTTCCCTTCCTATTTCAGTGAACCACTCTCATTCTCTTCCTATTTCAGTGAACCACTCTCATTCCCTTCCTATTTCAGTGAACCACTCTCATTCTCTTCCTATTTAAGTGAACCACTCTCATTCCCTTCCTATTTCAGTGAACCACTCTCATTCCCTTCCTATTTCAGTGAACCACTCTCATTCCCTTCCTATTTCAGTGAACCACTCTCATTCTCTTCCTATTTCAGTGAACCACTCTCATTCCTTCCTATTTCAGTGAACCACTCTCATTCCCTTCCTATTTCAGTGAACCACTCTCATTCCTTCCTATTCCTGTGAACCACTCTCATTCTCTTCCTATTTCAGTGAACCACTCTCATTCCCTTCCTATTTCAGTGAACCACTCTCATTCCCTTCCTATTCCTGTGAACCACTCTCATTCTCTTCCTATTTCAGTGAACCACTCTCATTCCCTTCCTATTTCAGTGAACCACTCTCATTCCCTTCCTATTTCAGTGAACCACTCTCATTCTCTTCCTATTTCAGTGAACCACTCTCATTCCCTTCCTATTTCAGTGAACCACTCTCATTCCCTTCCTATTTCAGTGAACCACTCTCATTCTCTTCCTATTTCAGTGAACCACTCTCATTCCCTTCCTATTTCAGTGAACCACTCTCATTCCCTTCCTATTCCTGTGAACCACTCTCATTCTCTTCCTATTTCAGTGAACCACTCTCATTCCCTCCCTATTTCATTACTGAGATGTAAGTTACACTCGAACAGCTCCTTCCTACGAAATGCTTATCTTATCTTCCTCAAATATCCTCATAAAGTGTACCTATATTAATGTTTACTTTGTAACCCTCTACCTTGAGTAGCTTGGGCCATGTCCAGGGTGAACATTATTGTAGGAAAATGTATATTTTAATAATCCACAGTGCTTGCATTTGTTTTGCCGTGTTTTTTTTTTCCAGTAAATATATTTTCTGATTGTTAGATGCAATATTTAAGATTTAAAAAGCACTTCCAAATAAAAATTCTGTAGCATTTATAAAATTTACGGATTATAAATAAAAGAAATATTCATAAAATTACTAAACATTTTGCATAAAGATATGTACATATGAAATAATGGCACATAGGTTTTGAATTAATAATATACTTGAATAAAGTTATATTTTTAATATGACATACTCTTAAGTACATAGGCGATCATGGGTCCTCCATAGAGGTCTTTCCTTTATTACATGAGAATTGCCATGGCATCTTGTGGAAAGCTAGTAGAGGTGTGGTCTCATGTTGTTTTCTTCAATGTTTAGAATTAACATTTGTTCGTCTCTTAAACAACTTACTACATAAGGCTAGAGAGGGAAACCAATCTACTTTACTGTTTGACCCAGAGATGGATTCATGCCTGTCTCCAGGCCATTTATACGAAAGTGAACGCAACTGAAGAAGCCGAAATGTGAACTCGGCTCGCTGATTCTCTTTTTCACGCAGTTACGATACTCGCAGTTATGTACACTATGAATATAGGTATCTTTACCTACTCCTTTTAATCATTTCAACTCAAACAAGGCGATAAAATCACTCAGACGCAAGGGGTATAAAAGAATATGAGAAAAGGTAATAAAAAAAAAAAAAATTAAGACGACAGATAAAGATAACAATTGACATTGCATTTACATATTTGAAGATCAAAGATAACTTGAAAGTGCGAAAGAAGATCTTACGGTTATATCTAGACATTTTAATTGTAAAATGATGAGACCTTACCGCCAATCTAGTACAGCACTTTAACTCATAAAATCTAGCTAACAAAGAGGAAAACTAATCAGAAAAATTACCATGAAAGAATTTATAGAAATGGCACAAGGAAGGTACGTTACGGCGAAGCCGAGATGTCAGGTCAAGACCAATAACATTGCAGATTTATTCTCTATTTTATCAAGAACCTCCAAATATATAAATACCAAACAAGATGTGGCCCGCAATATTTAATGCATGGCTGAAGGATAGACCTATAAATGAATGAAATGCAATCTGACGTGAACAATTGTCTAACACGACACAGTGACCTAACTTTCTTCGCAGACGACCTAACAGTTGATTCAATATAAAAATCACTCCACTTTATATCAGAGGAAAACGTTAGACCGAGAAGTCGCAACGTATCTATGATTTGAATGCAAAAATATTTATGATTTTAAGAAAAGTAATTTTGTTTGACTAAAACTATGATTTTCTGTATCGATATTATTTTGAATAACTGGACAGATATTTTGAATAAACATATTTTAACCTTTTTTACGTGACGTTTTTATCTTTTGTTTTCTGTCTTCGTATGGAGACGTTACGCTTTCACATTGTTGATCTCTTTTTGTTTTTTACATGTCCTCTAGGGACACGGCATATAGAAGAATAAGGTTATCTTCTTCGAGGCCATCATGACTCTCCACTTGACGCTTGGGGCTATCATGGCTCTCCATAACTAACCCCCAGCGTTCAGTTTACTTTCAGACCCAAAAGGGCGCTACCATTGTCTTTTTGCAAGCAGCGTTACAATGGCTTAACAGACTAATCCTTGAATGGTACTCTCTTCTGCAGGTGTGATAGATGAAGCTGAAATGTAGAATGGAGTACTCTATCTCCTAAACGAACTAACGCAATAATTTAAAACCTTGTCTTAAAAATGGCTATTTCATAGGGGAGAAACATATGCTTGAATGCAAATATAATTCTCACAATGAAATTGTTGTAACCTAGGGAAGGTTACAGAATAGAATAATCAAACGAAGGTTGGTAATGAACGATAATACTTAGAACAAGAACAAGACATATAAGATTCGCCAGCGGCGCGTAGAAGAAGTCAACTGCTACAACTGAGTTAAGGGAATTCCCCAATGAATCTCCAACTTCAGGATATCTACCAACCACCCCACGCCGTCAGATGTGGCTCAAGGTCGAATTTAATGTGGGGTATACGAGCCTGTAGGCTCGGCCAGGAATTTCTCGTAGACCCCGTCTAAAACGGGGTCGGCTAGCTATTTTCCGTGACGAGACTCTGCCCTTCGACATAGCCTCATCTAGGGATCCTCTCAGCCTAGAGGCAGAGAGTTTGACCAGCACAGTTGGAGATGAATCTACAACTGCAGCCCAACATACAGTATTTACTACTGTATTTATGTGAATAGGGACATACCCGTTATCGTCCGTAGGTATGCTACAACAGAAATGCTACTGTATATTCATTGTGTCGTAAAACTATATATCCTTTCAGTTCAAGACGACAGAAACAAATAAAACCAATTTCGAATTCATTACATTCACTTTCACACAAATAGTTTGAGAAAGATATGTATCCCTCTATTCTCTCACGTCTATGGAAGACAGACAGAGCTCTTTCGCCGTGATTGGGCACCAGTCAAGGAGAAAATTTTATATGAGTTTTTTTAATGTGCAGGTAAAGTAAAGGTTATCGGCTCGGAGCCGATTTCGAATTCCAATCGAGTACGCTACAATCAATTTCGCACAAATATTTTTGAGAACGTTATAACTCTGTTTATTCTCAATTGTCTATGAGTTAAATAGCAAAGCAGATATGACTTTCTAGACGCAACTGGTACCAGACTAGGAGATGGGTAACTCTGAATTCAAAAATGTATGTAGCCCTTGCGACGTATATACTATACATCCATGGAAATAGTAATAATAATATTAGCCGTTGCTCTACATTTAAATATTTGGCATTCATTGACCGAACGGCCAGTATGGCTGTCAGTTGAAATTAATGAAATATTCGTCTCAAAATAGTTTTTTCATAAAAATAGGTTTCTCAAGTCCAGTAGCTGTTATCGCTCTTTCTAGTATTGATGTTTTTCTTCCTAACCTTTTATTTGAAGGCCGATAATGCTTTGGTTGAAATTTAGAAAATATTTCTCTCTAAACAATTTATCAGGAAAATAAGTTTCTCATGTTCAGTAACTGTTTTTGCGTTTTCCCGTACTGATGGGGTTTTCCTTCTGAACCTTTTATGTGAAGTACTGTGGAACGTTAACATATTGATTATATTATTATTTTCCCTTCAAGTCACATGTACTGTCCATTTGAGTTGTTGCTACTCTTGGTAGTCCTCAAGTTATGTGGTTTCTGTTATCTGGTGTAGTTCTTTGTTTGCGATTCTGTAGCTCAATGTTCAAAGCAGGATTATTTTTGCCAACGCCTTCAGCTTCCATTATAGCGTTTACAGATAACTTCAGCGGGGAATTGTCGACTTTGTGATCTCGACTGAGTATTTTCTTGTAATCTACTGCATGATCTTTTAGGAGCAAATACTTGTAAACGTTTCCGTTTTTCACCGATGTGTAAAACAGAAAATGGTAATCAAAAGGGGTGGGGAGGTAAAAAGAGCGACATCTGAAAATGAACTTTGATTTTAAAGCATTAAAATATTCCATTTCAAAAGCAAAATCAATTCTTTTTATCAAGAGAAAATAAATAATGATGAAGCAGTATTAAAATTTCGTGCCACAGAAAAATTTGTGTATAACTTTTATTTTAAGGCAACTTTTTGGTACGAAGTTTATCATTTCTAGGCTAAATTTTGAATGTCATTGACATACATTAATATCCATCGGAAACTAATTTTTGTTTCTGTTTGCATCCGGGAAAAAATATGCATTTAGCGTTATTCGCTGTACGAAATATAAATTATTCATGATGCAAATCATTTATAGAAGCGAGAAGGCGTATTTCAGAGTGAGTTTATCTTGTACGTGGCAGTCTTTATGACCGCAGCTGGAAGCCGAGTCGCATTTGTATATTTTGCTTTGAAGTTTATAACAGAGTTAGCGTAGTTGTTAGCAGCATGGGAAATAAAATCGACAAAGCTAGTTCGAATTCCCGATAAGTACACTTCTCAACGAATCTATATTTTAAGCTCGAGACGTTACAACTATTTGTCAATCCGCGAAGTCATATAGCGAGATATGTTGAGCAAATAACGCACCACATGTGAGATAATAATTAGCGAGGTGAATCTGGTTTGTCATTACTATTGATTTGTACCTGAAAATTGCACGAATTGTGCTATCGGCGTTTGATATTATGTGTGTATATATATATATATATATATATATATATATTCTTCTTTTATGTGCCATGTCCTTTCATGACGTAAGCGATCATAGCTCTCCACTTCAGCCTAGCCCTTGTAGCTCTCAATAAGTTTAGTCCGTTTGCTACACCTCCCAGACACTGTCATTCACTTGCTTAAGCCCGTTAGGTATATCACATGTTGCTTTCCTTAGTCTCTCTTTTCCTCTATTCGCCCTGTGATTATCAGATTCTCAAAGCCCTCCTTTCTCATTACTTGTCCTAGAAATATTCTGATATTAAGTATAAGCTTTCAGATGTTAAGTATAAGCTTCCTCCTTGTTTGCATCCTCTCCAAACCTCATCGTTGCTCACAGGCTCCGTCTATGATATCAATTAACGTTCTTCTGTAGAACCATACTTCCACAGCCTCGAGCCTTTTCTTCAACATTCGCTGCCATAAAGAAGGACAAATATCACGTAGCAGTTCAATACTCTTTTCTTTGTTAACAACGAAATCCTACTGTTTAGCTTTTGGAATGCGTCTTTGGCCATCCCAATACGTATTCGGATCACATTTACGGTCCTCTGCCAGAACAC